CGTCGTGCCTTGCTCCCACGACTTGGGCTTTGCCCATGGTATAGTCAAGTACCTCCTTTAGCTACAATTGGATGTCTAGAAAGAACAGAGGCTGATTTGGATAAATAAACCTTTTTTATCACTTTGTCTCTTGTTTGTAGTAGTATATCTACATGGTTTTCTTTTCCTTTTCTTCTAGATGGGGGATGAGTTTAGGTGGAGTGCAGGCTGCCCATACGCCTTTATTTATTACTATGTATATTAACAATCCCATGGATTTGGAAGTACAGGCCATCGTGAATATAATGAAGCTATTATGCCCGCAGAAAATCATTCAAGTCCAATCTTAAATCAGCCAATTCAGTGCTGCAAGAGTATTCAAGATTGGTTCTAACTAAATTGTCTTTCATTTGAGTTATTTTTAATTTTTTTTAGAATTTAACTTTTGATGTGATAGAAATGAAACTCAAGATATCACATTTTGACACGAATAGTCCTAACCAGCCATGCCTAATGCTCATTCCCCTTCATGCAAATGTTTTGCCAAGAGTTTGCTAGAGCTTCCAGGTTAAAACAATGAATGATAAACAACGCTACCTCCCCTAGAGTTTCTATGGTGACCATGAGTTTTCTGCACTAAATCCATATTTGTAAAGAGTTTTTAATGGGTTTTTGTTTGAACGGGAGTTTTTAATGGGTCGATAACACCTGCAAGGTTTAGAAAAAGGGCACCATGACATCCTGGAAAGTCATGGAAGAGTTTTTACGCTACAACCTTTTTTATCAAAAGCGTTTATTGGGTTGATACTCCTTTCCAAATTTGTGATGGAGTCTCAAGTCTTCCTGAAGGCAACTATGTGTGTCCGTTCATTGTAGGAATATGCAAACTTGTCTATAGACAAACAATATATCAAAAAAGCATGAGTGAAGGTTCTATAAGGCGTAGGCTTTATGAAAATAAAATAAAGCCTTAATTAAAATCCTCATCCGGAAAACACTTTCGGCAACGGAAATATCCATGGTAGCTCTAAAATTAATTTCTCTAACACCGACAATGAAATTTGAAACTAAAAAAAATAGTATAGATTTTGCATAATTTTAGAGCGACATAGATGGTCTAGATAATTTGTTACAATATACCTTATTTTTAGAACTTGAAATCCTAATTTTTTTCCACAACCATAATGTTCCTGCCGAGATCATCAATGTAAAAGTTTTTCAATACTTGAATTGCAAATTTCAATGAAGTATGAGGTGAGGCGCTTTATTTATTTTGATACGGCTGCAGCTCTATCAGTCCATTTTCCAAAAAAAAAATCATAAATACCTATATTAGACCCACACTTACTATAAATAAAAGATATTATACATACTCTTTCCATACATCGCAATTATAGTGTACACCTTCCATACTAACTCCGTAGACAATATTTACTTACCTTAACACCCACCCTCAAACTCAAAATGTATTAAAAAGCATATGAAGTTTGAACAATAAGTTGTGAAAACGAGCAGTTATGTCTTTAGGTACATAGCATAGACTAGTAGAAATAGTTACATAGCGTGGACGAGTAGAAATAGTTAGTTGCCACTCCCAGATTGCTTGATCAACAGGGCCTCACCATGGCTTTGGGAGACTTGGATGCCTATAAGGAAAAGATAGACGAACAAGAGATGATAAGAATAAAAGGAAATTATAGACACCTACCCTTCCTATACATAACAATTATATTATACATTCTATATTAAGACTGTAGACAATATATAAACACTTTTAACTATAGCTTCCCTCGGACGTATTCTTAAACCCAAAATTATTTTGGTTACCATGCATGACTTTCAAACTTAAAAACTGCTCTTGTACAATATTTCTGATATGATGTTCTATACACCCCAAACACAAAAATATGATGTTTTCTTTAATATCACAAAGAGAAAACTACTAATATTATCATTATTTGAGCGAGATTGAATAAAGGGAAAATTATAAATATATCCGTTATTTTAAGCGTTATTGTAATTATATCTAAAATTTACACTTATTACATGTATACCCGTTTTTAGGAAGCCCAATTTTTTTTTTTAAAATTGTCCTACTTTTGGATCTTCAGTATCCAAATAAATAAAATTTCGGAACTTCAAGGTCCGAAATTACCCTATTTTTTGATCTTTAGGATCTGATATAAAAATAAATAATAAACCTTAAAATCAGAAATATCCCAAAAATGCTCGATAGGGGTGTTGGAGGTGTAGTGCGGCCTATTTTCAGATCCTTAGGATCTAAAATAAAAAAATTTCGGACCTTCGATGTCCGTAAACTATTTAAGACCTTAAAGGTAGGGTCGAGAATGGGTCGGATCGGGGCTGGATCCGACCAGATCCGAATAGTGTATATCGGATCCGGGTTCAAACCGAATCTTAGATATTTAGATCTGGATCCAGATCCAAATTGTACAATGGAACCGGGTTGGATTCGGATCCGGATTATATATACTATTAAACTAAAGAAATGTATATATATAAAATAAAAATTTACTATTCGAAACCAGTTTGGATCTGGATTTGGATCCATGTCTGATCCACTTGCATCGGATCCGAATTGAAATTGAAATCCGGATCCAAATTTTGAGTGCGTACTCGGATCCGAACAGGGTCTGAAATCTGGGTTTCGGATTCGGATTGGGTCAATTCTTACCCCTACTCAAAGGTCCGAAATTGTACGTAGACCATTTTGAAAAGAACAATTGTTGATTTTTCAAATTTTTGATGAGGGTAAAATGTGGATTTTTTAAAGGACATGGTTTTTATGCGGCCAGCCCACATATTATAGAAATGAGGGCTTGGTAATAAATATATATTTTTAATATAATTTGATCCTAATTTTTAGAGAATATATAATCATTAAAATGGAGATTATGAATATGAAATTTTTTTTGAAAACTAGAAAAAATAATTATATTAAAAAAACATTTGGACCATTAATTACATTTGTTTTTAGATGAGCCACCTAATTGCATCCATCTGTAAGATGGATGCTTTATACGTCTGGACTGCATATTGTAGAAATGCAATCCCGCTCGTATGAAACAATTATCCTTTTTCAAAAGAGCAAACATTTGAAACAGTTTATGCCAACTGATTATTTCTTTTCTTTTTTTTTTTACTTATTGGTGGAGACTAGAAAATATTTGTGAGTGATTTTGCACATCTTATTGGTTAAGTTTCATTTGTCAATTTTTTATTTCGAAAAGAAGTCTTATTTTATTTTGTGATTTTTTAATTTTAAAAATCTGAATTAAAATTTTTGAATATTGAAAATCCGAAAAATTCGATCATACTTTTTTCATGTAAAAATAAATTGCGGATCTTGAAAATCCAAAAACGGCAATTTGGTCATTATAGAAAATGATGGCAAAATGTTGTAATAATGGGTTTAAAATGGATAGAGTTGTAATAACAGAAAAGTTTAGATGAAATTGTAATAACCCTTAAAATAATGAATATATGTGTAATTTTCCCTTGAATCAATAGAGCTTGCGTACTCTTGTTTTGGCATGAAGAGTCCTTAATCACTTTTAGTTGTCTCATGTTATATCTAACTGCTTGACATATATAACAAAGTTTTAAATTTTTTTTTTTTTAACTTTTTTATTGAAAGAAAAGTATATATTGTATATCTCGTTAATAGGGAAAATATACAATATAATTTGTATATTTAGGAATGGTAGATACAATATCTTGTATTTATGGTAAGTTTAGATATAATATAAGAAACTGTGATTTATTTCTATATTTTCTGATTTATAATTTATCTATAAAAAATAAGTCTATATATTCATATGATTAATGAACACTGAATCTCTTGAGAGAAACCAAAGACTCTTTATAAATTATAAAATAAGAAATTGTGTTTTTTAGAGTTTTATGTTTATTCAATGATACTCGTACAACTACCTATTTTTAAATTTAATGGACATAAATGATTATTCCAAAAAATTAATGTCAAGGAAGAAGTGTGTTTATTGCCTCTCTCGAAAAGAGGCTTGTCCTTACGGCTTGATGGACTACTTATTGTGATCTTTTATTGGCATAGATAAGACGTTTTGTTGACTTTTTAAGGACAGTTGAGGTAAATAAGCTTAGCAAAAAGGAAATTAAGGTAAATATGAATTTGAATCAAATGTTCAAAAAATTCTCGATTTAGATTGGAACCACCCTGACACGGGAACCAACTAGATTCCTTTATGGAATGAGTAATGGTTCCATTCCGAAAGACCCGTCGGTCGTCGGTTTTGTTAGAGAACGGGATGGTTTCGTTTAAAGAACGACAGGCCAAACAATTGGGCAATCCCCACCAAATTCAAATTTTATTTTTACAATAATTTTTTTTTTAATTAGGACAATCTACCGATTTTGATTGGACTTGCCAATCAAATAAACGATTCTAATATTCAATTATTCATTAGAGGGCCATTCTGAGATCCGATTCTGAGTTTTTAATAAACATGTTTGAAAGAGAGGAAAGTTAATATCTTTTTCGTATTTATTCCATCAAGCGTTCAAGGAAAGGTCATTCTGATGTACATGATATCATTTGAATGTAATTGGTAGGCATGGCTTCGAGCTAGAAGCTATGCTTATGCGAAGCTTGGGTATTTTTCCAGGGTTATCTTTAGGACGAGTTTGTCTTTAATTTAGTTTAAGAAGGACAAAAGTTTCAAGTTCATGCTTAATTTTAGTAACGAGTTTTAATTACAATAAAAATGGGACTAGGCGGTCTCAATTAAGCCTATAAATAGGAGTTGAACTGCTGGTTTTTGTTGAAATTTAACGTGGGCGAAACGGGGCCACGAGTATATAATGT